CAACCTACTCTGAGTACAGTTTTGTCCCGGGAGTACCTGCATCTTCCTCCTCATCCAGACTCAGCACCTCTATGCAGCCTGAAGCAGTCTTTCCCCAGGGCCCATGCCAGCTGCAGTGGTCCTCAGCAGGGCACACACTGGATCCACCCGGGCAGTGTTGACTCTAGGTTCCGCCCTCATTCGCATTGACTTCCTGGGAGCTGGGCAAGTCCTGGCCATTGGAATTTTGGAAAGTTTCCCAGGGGGTTGTAATGTGTTTCTAGGGTCAAGAAACAACTGAGGGCTGGGGAGAAGCTCTGTGGATGAAGCATGTGGAACACAAGTGTGAGGGCTTGAGTTCTAATCCCCAAACCCACAAACAGCTGGGCAAGGGTCTGTAAAGTACACATGTGTAATTCCAATATTCCCACTGCAAAGAGGGAGGGGGAAGCAGGAAGTCACCTGAAAGTTTGCAGGATAGCTATGTGGTATAGTAACAAATACACAAGACACTGTCTCCAACAAGGTAGAAGGCCTGGACAAGTATGTGTTGCTCCCAACAAGGACTTTAAAAAAAAAAAAAGGGAGTTGGAGAGATGGTTTAGTGCTAAAGAACACACACCACTCTTGGAGAGGACCAAAGTAGGTTCCCAGCACCCACATTGGGTGACTTAAAACCTCCAGGGGGTTCAACAAGCTCTTCTGGCTTTCAAGGGCATCTCCATGTACTTGCTATACATTTGTGTACACACACACACACACACACACACACACGCACGCACGCACGCACGCACGCACGCACGCACGTAAAATAAATCTTAAAACAAAAAAACAAAAAACAATTGAAAAAGTAAAGGCTCCTGAAGAACCAGGGCAGATTCTCTCAACTGGAAGCAATACTGTGCCCCTACCCTCTGTTCTGTTCACAGGGTGGTGTCTGAGACACTTCTTATAATTGTCCCTCTGGGGCAAGGGTGCTTTTGTGTCCAGGGACACCACTGAATCCCATGGTGCACAGGAGAGTGGTGGGCTTCACATGCTCCTGGTAGATCATGGCTCGCACACTGGAGAGCACATGGGATGACTGGAAGAGGGCTTGCTTAACTGTGTATAGCAGGGGCCTTGGGTGTGGCTTGGTATGTAGAGCACTTGTCTCACTTGTACAAAGCCCTAGGTTCCATCCCTAGATTCTAGGATGTGGGGTTTGCACTCTTAACTAGTTCCCATGTGATCATGAAGCTGTTGGTCCCAGTCTATGGATTGAAAAATCCATTGTGATGATCAGAAAACACTACAACAGAGAATTAAGACAGAAGAGCCTTTCTCTTACATAACAGAAATCATAAAGGAAACCATCCCATGCCAAGCAAGCATCACTAGAGTGTCCAGAATCCAGCCCTGCCTTCTCTTAACCATTATAGGATATGATTGTCTCTAGTAGACCAGTATGGATGCTGTAGGATGAGCCATTGTGACCTTATTAAAACAGAAGGGAATAAAGATGGACTGGCTTCAAGCTGCCTTAGAGCAGCCTGCCCTGAATTATTCCAGTAGCTTTACTTGCATCTCATTGGTCAGTTCTTATATAGCTATCCTCGCCACATGAGAGTCTGAACTTCTTCACACTAGGGTTGTATTAACAAACAAAGAACAGGATAGATATTGGGGTGGGCAAGAAGCAGCAGCTTTGACTGGCATCTGAAAGCCTTAGCTGTCCTAAGCATTATCATTTCTTTGGCATCCGCCATTCACCAGGTGGCTTCCATGTATTATCTCATTTAATCCCAGGAACTTCGTAAGGTAGATAATAACATTATCTTCATTTTGCAAATGACAAAACTAAGGCTTTTTCCCCCCTTTTGGAGATTAAGCCACCGCCCAAGTCCCTGGGAACAAATGCTGTCATTTAACAGCTTGCTTCATTGCTCTCAGAGGCCTACCTTTTTTTTTTTTTTTTTTTTGTTATTTTTTTTTTTTTTTTTAAATTAGGAACAAGCTTGTTTCACATGTCAATCCCTCCTCCCTCTCTCTCCCCTCTCCCCACCCTCCACTCTCTCTCCAGCCTGGGTAGGGCCCTTGACGGGGGCTCCGCAAAGTCCACCACATCATCCTGAGCCGGGCCTAGGCCCTCCCCCATGTGTCCAGGCCGAGACGTGGGATGGGCTCTCAAAGACCCTTCTTACACCAGGGAAAAATACTAATCCACTACCAGGGGCCCCCTAGAGTGCGGAGGCCTCCTCATTGACATCCATGTTCAGGGGTCTGGATCAGTCCTGTGCTGGCCTCCCAGACAGCAGTCTGGGGTCCATGTGCTCCCCCTTGTTCAGGCCAGCTGTTTCTGTGCGGTTCACCAGCCTGGTCCCGACCCCTTTGATCTTCATTCCTCCCTCTCTGCAACTAGGTTCCAGAGTTCAGTTCAATGTATATCTGTGGGTGTCTGCCTCTGCTTCGATCAGCCACTGGATGAGGGCTCTAGGGAGGCCTACCTTATTTTTTTTTCCAGTCTGCAGGATCTTGGTTACTCTCTTCTAAGACTAAATCCTGCCCCGAGGCTATTGATGAGTTTGTCTTTCCCGTTGCTAGTATCCCTACTCTGGTATCCTCTTGGAAAATCTTTGGGGATGAAGGTTGGGTCTGGAAAGTTTTCTGAAAGTGCTACAAGGCTTGCCTGGCATATTTGAAGCTCTAGGTTCTATCGTTATACTGTGAAAAATGTCTTAGTGGAAGTGTGTATTGACACGGTACAATCTGAGGCCAGTTTTAATGTGCTAAAGAGAAGGTATCTACAGAATTCATTTCCTCTAGATACTCTAGGGGAGACACCATTGCCTTCACTGTCCCTTGTCCTCAGGAGCCCCTCCTTGAGCCTGTCTGGCTTTCTTCCATTCCCACACCTCTCCTGTGCTCCATCCCTTGCATCTTTGATGATGCTGAGGGTCCAACTTGATGACCCAGGTCTCCTGCCTCAGATTGCTGACCTCACACTATCCACACATCTCTTTATTTGTCATGCTAGAAGGAGAAGCATCTTTCAATGTCTCCATTTTTTTTTCTCTTCTACTGGCTGCTCCAAATTACATAGATTGTACACATACTCTACTTAGGCATGTTAATTTTAAAAGTGGCCAGAAAGTAGGCCTGGCAATTCATGCTTATAATCCCAGAACTCAGGAAGCAGAAGCAGGAAGATTGCTTTAAGTTCAGAGCTAGCCTGGACTACATTACAGTTGCCAGGCCATCCTGTACTGCAGAGTGGGAGACCCTGTCTCAAAAATGACAACAGATAAATATAAGAGGCCAGATATGAAGACCAAGGCAAGGCCGTGTGGTGGGTACCTTGTCTTCTCTGTCATAGCAACAAATAGAAAGACAGTCCTGCACAAAGGGCAAGGGGAGAGGGTTCTGCCCTGGGTGTGACTGTGTCACCTTGGTAGAGTGGCTTCACATGTGGGCCAATGTCATTGGGAAGGGCATTCCCAGTAGATACTGTAGTTTTCTACACAGCAAACTTCATCAAGCTTGGCTGCCATTCCTGGTCGCTTTTCAGCTTCCAGACTTCTTTTTAAATCCTTGCACCTCTTTCCTCTCCTCCAGGCTGACAAAGGTAAAGACTGTAGGAACATTTTGATGTGGGTGGGGAGAACTTCCCCATGCCAGAACCCCACTTCCTACCAGGGAGTCAACTCCCCGCCTTCCTCCCCACACCCTCCCTCTGTCTGCTTCTACCCTCTGAGGGTGCCGGTCTGGGGCCTTGAGTGTTTTGCTTTGGATTTTGTTTGGTAAATTCCTCATGGCAGTCCGTCTGTGCTGAATGTCCTGCTGTCAGCTGCATGGAGTTGCTGAGCAACAAGAAGGAAGCCGCGCCCCCCCCACCCCCGTCACTGCCAATTAACTTGCCAGCTGCATGGCCTGTCTCCTGGGTGAAAAGGCTTGTGTGGATCGAGGAGACAGCCTTGAGGCTGGTGAAGAAGGAGAAAGGAAACTGGGGTTTCCTTTGGGGTTTTGGGGTGTGCTTTTAGGTCCAAATGTGAAGGAGTGTGTGAAGGGGCTGGGGTAGGGGACTACTCCCTATTTTCTTTAGGGACATTGGTCGGAACTCACTTTTTTAGTCTGTGATTTTGAAGTTAAGATTGTCCCCTTCCACAGCTTTCTTGCAAAGATGTCTTCAAGAATCTTCTGCCCTGGGCATCCCTATCACTCCACTAATCACTCTGGGCCTCATGGTGGCTGCCCCATCCTGTCAAGAAGACATACCACCTAGACATTTTCACATTGAGCCTCTAGAATCCAGCTCCTCAGGGCACTACCATCAGCTATGGATACCCTGGCTGGTCCAGGAGGCCTTGGTCATGAGACACCTCCTTCCCTGCTGTGGCCTGTGTGAATGATGCTTACCCGACTGGCTTAGTTTTGGATCTGAGCATCTCTCCCCACAAGGTACTTATAGACGACGTGCCCACATTTCTCATCCTGGCTTGATGGTGGTTGCCGAACCCGAGACCTGTAAAGCAGCCGCCTTCATAGACCAACACCATCTCCAGTGGCCAGACCCAGTCAGCACTGAAGTGGGGTACTCCCCAGAGGGACTCGGTGATTTGTTGCTCAGCATTGTGGGTGATAAGAAGCGGGAAGGATCTGTGGGGAGTGTGTGTCTGCCCTCACTTATTTGCCCTCAGACTGGGAGGACAAATGTGCCAGGTGTTCTGTGGGAACCCTGTCCATTCTGAGTGAGTTATTCTACAGTGGAGATGCAGGTCACCCTACTGTGACCATTTTTATGTCATCCTCTGAGGGGCCCTTATCCATTCTGTATGTACCAGGCTTCTTGGGGATGCTCCAGTGAGCAGGGAGTTTTCCAGGAGCCAGACATAAGCCTCACTTTCTCCTGTCCTCAACTGGAGCACTGTGTCCTGTGTTCGGATGCTGCACTAACAGAACCCTGTGGTATAGAGTCGGGAAAGTGAAGCATTGTGGATAGAGCAGATGCCACCATCTAACTCTTGCTGTCTTTTGGTCCACAGGCCAAGATGGAGGCTGACCAAGGGCTGTTCCTGCTCACCCATGCTACTCACCAGAAGCTCTGTGGAAAAGTGGAAACTATGTCCCTGGTCTTCCTTTCAGGACTTGGCTGAGATCAGGCTACTTCTTGAGAGGCCTGGATTCAACTGAGGAATATCATTTTGGAAAATATAGAAACTTCTAGACTGTGGAGACACTTGGGAAGGAATGATCTGTGTTGACTTGAATGAAAAAAGACATCTCTGGATTTTACCCACAGCTGGTGAAGGCTCACCATCCCAACTCATCTTCTGTCGTGTAGAAAAGTCCCTGATGCCACTACCCAGAATGCTCTTCTCCACCTGCCCCTGTCCCAGGCACCGCATCCTTCCCTGCCTGACCCCACCTCACCTTTGGACCCAAAGATGCTTCTTATTTGCTCTATTATCTTCGAGCCGGATGCAGAGTGAATAGTTAACTATTCTTGAGTTGAATGGGTCTTGATTTTTTTTGTTGCTGTTCCTTGTAAAGAGATCATTCTCAGTGCATGGCACGCAGCCTGGAAAAGGTATGTGACTCCAGAGTGACACGAGAGCCAGCGTGAAGGCCCTGTTAGCTCTTGGAGGCCAGGGAAAGTGGAGACAGCTGAGCCGGGAGTTGAGTAGAGCTGGCGCTGGCTGTGGTCTTGCACTGGTTGGATCCACATGCAGGTGTACATTTGGACTGGTAGAGGTGAAGCCATTTTCTGTGACACAAAGGGAATGAGCTAAAAGACCTTCTTCAGAGGTGGCAGTTGGCAATCAGCTCATCCAGGGCTGTGTGACTGAGCCGCCAGCTCCATTGGTGTTGCCTTCTGTGCATGTCCTCGCTGTCCTGTGTGCTGTCAGCAGCCGGAGCCTTTTCCTCCTCCCTCCTCTGTGGCCTCTACTTGTGCAGTTGGAAATCCTTCCTAATCATGTCATGACTCCACCTTCTTGACTGTGCACTCGAAGATGTTTGAGACTTTTTTTTATTTATAAAATGGATGGATAGTTTGTTTCCTCGAATTGTCATTGGCATGATTCTATGGCTGTGTTCAGTGACTTTACAGTGGGGCATTGTCTTTGGCCTCTCAGATTCTCCATGGTGGAATTGAAGAGACTTCCTAAAGATGTTTAATGCTGCTGAAATCAAAAGGAGGCTTACAAACATCCACCTGCCCTCCCTCCCTCCCCCTCCATCCCTCCTTCCCTCCGTCCCTCCCTCCTTTCCTAAGCACACAGTGCCATTGTCTGTGTTGTATGAGTTTCTTCAGGTTTGAAGGAATGGTGACCCACTCCTATTATCCCTATAGGTCTTTTCTAACAGTGGGTAAGGTAATAGAAATGGTTGGAGGGACTGCCCAGATGGCCTGCCCTATAATCCCATAGTTAGACCATATACTCAAGAACTACAGGGATGACAAGGACGGTAGCATCCAGACCGTCATGTGCCTCCCTATACAGTAGGAAATAGTGTTTCTAACTCCCACATTCCACTCTGTGGAGCTGGGGAGATCCAGTCATCCCAGACTGCCAAGGACATGGGATTTCTTGGGACAAGAGATTTGGGGGAGCTAAACCTGGGGCTGACTTAGGAAAAGTGTCACGATTGGTCATCCTACTGAGTGAACCAGTGACCATATCTCTTCTGCTGCAGCAGCAAGGGAAAGCTTCTAGGTTGCTTGGCCAATTCCTATTCAGAGCTGTATATCTGGTCACTCTTTGGACACAGGTCTGAGCGGATCAGGTGCTCCATCCTGACCAAATCTGTTATCTGTAAGATGGTAAGTTTGTCTTGTACTGAAGAAAATCTGAAGTGTCATGGGCCAGAAAATATGAAGTGTCGTGGGCCAGTTGAGACCATGTCCTTCCGAGGAGTTTGTATACAGTGGGCATGGCAGAAATTCAAAATACCTGGGATTGCTCTAGGGCAGTCCTATGTAGGTGACACTTACCTCTTATTCAAAATGAAACTGCCCTTGAAGAAGCAAACCCACAGCCACCAGGATAGTACAGGATGCATGGCACCATGTTCATGTTTGCATGTGTGTGTGTGTGTGTGTGTGTGTGTGCTTAACACCTGTGCAAACATGTGCTATAGAGAATAAACCAAGATCAAAAATTTGCATCTTCGCTAGACAGAGACAAAGAGCTGAAATCTTAGGGACGATGTCTGGAAAGCAAGGGACTTGGCTAGGAGACTTCCTGGAAGTCCTTTGAAGTGTAGCTTTTATTTAGACTATCAAGGGCATTTCAGCTGGGGATAAGTGTGTACTTTCTCTCTAGAGTCCTCCCCGATAACCCTGATAACCTGGGTTCAACTCAGAAACCACTGAGTGGGACCTCCCAGCTCACTCTCCCCTTCTCAGTCACTAGCATCAGGGAGTGGGAGGAACTTCAAGGAGGTGAGGACGGGCGGGGTCATGCCAATCCAATTCGGGGTGTTCATGACAAGTAAGAGCAATTGAAAGGTAAATTACAGGTTCTTTTGCAGCTTGAAAAAGCCAGGTTTTCAGGATCACCTGGCACCTGAAGCTGTTGCTGCCTGTCAGGGCTTTCAGCCCACATCTTTCTGCTGAAGGCTAAGCATGAGGGTCCATGATGCTGGAGCATGGCGTCCCACTAATTCTTCTCATCTTGAGTTGAAGGCCACAGGCGGTTAATTACATACTAGGGTTGCAATGAGATCCAGGGGTTTTGGCATAATTCTTGGATTGGGAAGAATACTAGCCTGTATCCTTCTCTTTGGGCACCATCTTTGAAAAGATGACCATGGGATTGGGGAGATGGCTCAATCAAGAAACTATGTGAGGACCAGTGTGTGGTGGTATACAGTTATTAACCCAATGCTTGAGAGACAGATTCCTGGGCTTCACTGCTCAGCCAGCCTGGCCTACTTGGCAAGTTCCAGGCCAATGAGAGACCCTGTCTCAAAAAAACAAGGGGGCTAGAGAGATGGCTTGGTGTTTAAGAGTGCCTGCTGCTCTTGCAGAGGACCACAGTACAGTTTCCACTCCCCACACCAGGCAGCTCACAACTGCCTGGAGCTCAAGTTCTAGGGCATCACACACCTTTTTCTGACCTCCACAGAAACTTTGGTCTCTGCTCAAGCACACATGTGCATGCATGCATGCTCACTCTCTCACTCTGTCTCTCTGTCTCCCTGTCTGCCCCCCCAAAAGATGATCATGTTTCAGCTGACCCCCTTCATATGTACCCTGTCACCCTTTGATCCTAGAAGAAGCTTTGCCATTGAGATAGAGACAGCTGTTTCCTACTCCCTTTTCCTCCACATAGAGCCCCCGGATCTCAGCAGCTAAAGTACCCTACCTCATCAGTTTTCTGGAACAATCTATTCACACAGGAATCTCCTTTTAAATTCTGACCAGATGTCATCCAGGCCTGGGGAGGCAGCCTTTGGTTGAGAGGGAATTGTGAAGGGGGCTGAACAGTATTTACCACCATGGTGGGAAGAAGAGAATTTGAAAGAGCAATTCAGAGGCTGCCACGTGGCCGTGATTGTCAACTCCTCAACAACATTTTTGAGCTAATATATTTTGTCTTCTCCCCTAATCAGTCTCCTATTTTTGGATCCTAGTGGTATGTGTATGCTGGTTTAAAATAAAAATCACAGGGCAGGGAAACAGGAGACCTGAGATTTTGATGTCAGAAAGTCCCTCATTTTAGCTCCTTGTATTTAACATGCAGGGCTGGGCACAGGTGCCTAGGACCATCTCCTGACGACATTCACATTGCTGTTGTATTTGAAGGACAAGCCATCAGTTTTCTAGGAGTTGGTGTCTTAAAGATCTACTGTATTTTCTGTAGTGGAAGAGACCATTAGCGGATATCCATGGGCCAATGGAAATCACCCCATCCCCGTGCTGACCACTCTCAACCTGATCATGACTCAGGTATCGTGATCATAACGACATTTCAAATTTACTCTGCTCCGCACCCCTGGGATCTTATGGGGCATTTGAACTTGACTCCAAACCATAGGAACACTCTGCTCTACAAACAGACCTGGGGACCTTTCTATGGAGATATGAGTATGGAATTACTACAGATGGGAAGATGTTTATGGGGAAGTGTGGCCTCCTGCTCAGGAGACTGCAGGGCAGAGAGTACCTTTGGAAATGACCACCGACTCTGTAGGCTTGTGGAAAACATGTGGAGGGAAGCCTAAGGAGATCCTTGAACTTTTGATAGGTTGAGGAGTGGTCTGGATACCTGGGATCTAGTCCTTTGCCTCAACCAGCTCAAGGTCATGTGTCAGTCACTCCACCCTGCCTCTGTGGCTCAGTTTTTCTTCGTACATGCAATGGAGCAGGGAAGTAAAGACGTTGCCTGTGAGTCAGGTTTGTCGCCCTGCCTGCCCTGGCTGCTGTCTATTTCCTGATTGGTAGCTCACTGTCCCTTCAGCTGCACAAATTGGAATTAAGACTGTCCCATCCCAGGGAAGTCCATTACCAAAGAATACTTCAAAGATGTTTGCACATGTTGTCAGTTGCACTGAGCATGAGTTTGTTGAAGGAAAAGGCAAATAGACACACAGCTGGTGACGGGAAATAATGGGGGCTGTTTAGCCCTGAGTGACTGCAAGGCAAGGGGGTAAAAAAAAACCAAGTCTGCCTGTCATTTTGACCAATAAGTAAAAATGGGGAGTGCTGAATAGTTAAAGCCATTGGGGATTTATTAGTTTGCCTAGTGAAGGGCAAATATTAAGTCTGAAATTGACCCATCCTGGGACCTGCCTTTTGGCTTTTGTGACCTGCCAGGTGCTGATCTCTGCAGACTCCAAGTTACTAAGTTCTCTTCGGTTTCTTTTTTAAAGTTGTGTTCTGTCTCCCTCTTTGGTCCCTCCTTTACCTATCCTTTCCACCTCCCACCCTTCCCAGAAACTCAAGTATGGATTTTGGAGGAGGTGGAAGTCTGCCGGATCATAAAATTCTTTGTACCAAGGGCTCTGACTGGCCTGGGGTTGAGCTGCCTGCAATTGGGTGGCCTTGGGAAGTGAGCTTACTAGGTTGCCGTACAGATTCTCCATCTTCTGACCTGGACTTTAGAGTGCTAATAGGCAAAGGATTTGTCCCTCATTAAACTTACAGTGAGTACAGTGGCAAGTGTTAGAAAGGCCAGACCATAGCTATTTCTAAATCATAACTCTCTGTCCTAGGAGACCATACTTGCCTCTCCATGACAAGTAACTTCAGCACGCATGTCCAGAGAGGTACTACTTAAGGAGGGGTCCACTGGACCTATGACTATTAGAACAGGGGGGGATGAGCAGTCTACCTAGCTTCCAAGAATCAGGCAGAATTTGAGCATCCCCAGTAGCAAGCAGCCCACTACATTTGTGGGGTGCTTGGGTCTCCCTTGGGGTGCAGTACTGCTGGGCACATAGCTCTATGTCAGACCCTCAGGGCTCTTATCTAGAGCTGCTCCAGGAGGCTTCCCAGGAAAGTAAGTCTTCCTTCCCTGCCCCAGACTTTACAGACAACTCTCCATCTATTGTTCATGCAGCCCACAGTGGGGAATGTTCTGGAACTGCTTCATGACGAAAGTCCCTCTCGTATTCCAGTAATGAGCTTTTATTGAATGGGGTGTGTTAGCTTTCCATAGCTTTAGCAAATAACAGAGATAATCAGCGTTTAAAGAAAAAAGGTTTATTTTGGCTCGTTGTTTTGGAGGTTCCGGTCAGAGCCATTGCTTGGGGACAAACCTGAGTAGAAGCCTACGGCAGAGCAAAGCCACTCATTTCATGGCTGGATAAAGAAAGAAGGTCCTGAGTCCAATTCCACAGTCTCCCCAAGGGCATTTCCCCAATGGCATGAAGACTTCCAGGAGACCCAGACCTTAACACATAAGCCTTTGGTTGGTGTGGGGTGGAGGATAGTTCCAGATTCAACCTGCAGCGTACCATGTGATTTCAAATCCTTTGTCCCTCTGTACAGAGGAGCCAGTGTTTTGAAGGATAGCTGGTCAGCTTGTCTCCAACTCTCCCTTTTCTATGAAGCCTTCCTTGATTTTTCCTTTCCTCTCAATCAGTTGGGACAGCCCTCTCATATAGTTTATGAAGCATGTTGCAGCATGTATGTAAGTATGTATGTGTGTCCCTCCTCCCATAGTTAGTATCAAATTAACTACCTTGAGGTTGAATTATTCTGGGTGTCTCCTCTCTGCTTTCTTCTGTCTCCTCTAACCTCTTCCGTTGGAACAAGAACCTAGTTACTCCCTGTTGATTGGAAGTTGACCCCAGGTTGCCCCTGTGGTGTCCAGCTCTCACAATGAGCAGTCTGGTCTGCTGTTCACAGACGTTCTCTGGTCATTGGAAGACAGGCCCAGAGGAGCCCAGTGCCTTGTCCAAGCCTTACCCAGGTGAGGACTGGTATTAAGCAGCAGCGGGGTCACTGACATGGCAAATGAACCAGCAAGGTGTGGAATTGACTTTCCCTGTTTGCAGTCTGTCACTGCGTGTAGTGCCACATCTGCCTGCCTTTTGTTTGCTGTCTAATAATCAATAAAATGTTATCAGAACAGAAGAGAAAATATGTGAGCTTGACTGTTTGGTTTCCATGAAGAAAGTGGAATGCGGCTGGGTTTTCCTGGTCTAACTGCAAAGCTAGGCTCATGTCTAAGGAGGGCGTAAATTCAAAGGCTTAGATCAAGGGGCCAGGGACTTGGTTCCTTTGGTAAAGTGCTTACCACATAAGCATGCTGGCTGCTATAACAAAACACCATCCAATCCCAGTGTCTACCTGAGGTTTTCTTATCTACTCTTCAGTTGAATGTGAGTTGGCATCAGTGGATGCAGAGAAAGCTCTTTGCAGAAATGTTGGGGCTGAAGGAGTTCTTAATTGGTCTATATAATAAAAAGGCAGAGTTAGACATAGAGAGAAATGCTAGAGATCAGAGAGGAGAAGCCAGCCACAGCACACCTTACCTCCTAAGCATCTCAGCAGAGAACAGTTTCCTGTTTCTCCCTGCTTATATCCTGTTTCTGCCCAGCTACACAATTTCCTGTCTGTCTGTACAGACCTCTAGACCTCTATGGTTAGCTAGTGGCAAGCTCCATTCTCTGACCCCCAGACAGGCTTTATTTGTGCAAGAAAGATATCACCACACATGACACTATTACTCCAATCCTCTCTCTTCTGTTCACATTGCATTGGCAGGAATTGGTCAGTATGCTCCACTTGGATGCAGGAATCTGAGAAATTCCCAGCTCTGTTACACAAATGCTGGTGAACACTAGCAGTTTCTGCCACACACACACACACACCAAATATCCACTGTGACAACTGGGGTGTCCTTTATTGCTTTCATCATGGTGGCCTTTCTGCTCCATAAATTCTGGCCTCTTGAATGTGCTGTTGTCACAGCTGGTATATATAGGTTCAAAGGTATAAGGAAAGCAAGGCAGAGATGAAGCAAAGCAGAGCCCCGAGTTTCACTTACTTTCAGCAGTGACCCCATGTAATTCATTCACTCTTTCTGTGTCTTGATTTCCAGTGTGTGCGTGCATGTTGCATGTATGTAAGTAGGTGCTGATGCACATGTGTGTATGTGTGTGGAAGCCAGAGGTCAAACTTAGGTGTTAGTCATAGGAGCTGTCCACCTTTTTTTTTTTTTTTTAAGCAGGGTCTCTCACTGACCAACCGGCCTGTCTGTCTCTGCCTCCTCAGTCCTGGGATTACAAGTGTGAACATCTATGCATGGCTTTGTACATGGGCACCGGGGCTGGAACTCCGGTCTCCACGCTTGCATGACCTTACCACTTCAATTTCCCAGCTGAGTCATCTCCCTAGCCCCAGTTTCCTCCTCTGCTCTGCTTCTAAGTGGTTCCGAAGTCTGAGTGTTGGCAGTTGGAACAGAATTTGAAGCAACAGCACCCCTTCCATATGTCATCTTGGCTTTATTTATTCAGGGCAAGTGTTCTTGATATCCATTGCTTGGGAACCAAGTAGGATGATTAATCTTAATTGTCAACTTCACCCGAGTGACACATAGGTAGAAGATAGTTCATAAGGCACACCTCTGAGTGTGTCTGCCATGGCTTTTCCAAGGAAGAGTAGGTTACCAGCACTCTGACCTAATCAATGGTTTGATCCTTGATAGATTTATAGTTGATGACATCATTAAGAAGTGGTGGAAGGTAGGTGGTGGGGTCTAGTTAAAGGGTACAGGTGCCTGGCTCATGTTTCTCTGACCACTTCCTCAATCAATCTCTTTCTTTCTCTCTCTCTCTCTCTCTCTCTCTCTCTCTCTCTCTCTCTCTCTCTCTCTCTCTCTCCCTCCCTCCCCCCCTCTCTCTCTGTCTTCTCTCCTCTCTCTCCACTCTCTATTTTCTATGAAGAGACGCCTCTGGGTTGTGTTACCACCACCAGGACATTTTGTGCCAGTACACCATGGTGCCAAGCAAACATGGACTGAACTCTCTGAAACCATGAGCCAAAATAGATCAGATTTTACTTTTAGATTGCATTGTCATTATTTTGTCACAACACAAAATCTGACCAACTTAAGAAGTGTTTGTAGAGCCACTGAATGATGACTCAGTGAGTGCGGGCGTTCACTGCCAGTGCCCTGAGTTCAATCCCTGGAACCGTGCGATGGAGGGAGAGAACTGACTTGTGCAAATTGCCTTCCCACTTTCACATTTATGTGATGTCATGCATGAAATCAATAAATAAATGCTAAAAAAAGAGAAGTGTTTGGGATTTTGAAATATATACATCTGAAACCAAGATAACTTGGAGATGGGTCCAAGTCTAAACTCAGAACTATCTTACATTTCAAATGCACCTGACACACACAACCTGATGGTTTCCTTCTATGGTAGTTTTTAAACATCTGTTTTGAGTGGGGCACATGCCATGAGGTCAGGTGTAGGATTTCCCACCCGTGGTGTCATACAGTGCTCACAAGCTTTCCGATTGGGTGGCGGGAGGCATTTTGGGATTTGTATTTTTGTACTGGAGAGCCCCAATCTGGGCTCTGAGCAAGGAAGCACGTAGGTCTAGACAGGAGCAAGTAGCTTCAGATGTGCAAACCCTCTGCTGTGCATCATGTGGTAGTCCAGCACAGTAGGGCTTTGCTCAGTGGTTTTGTCCATGACTGGGAACAGTCAGGACTAGGGACGCAGACCTCAGCAGCCAGTCTCTGCATCTCATCTAGCCTTAGCGCCGTCAAGGTTTTCTACTGAAGACCAAGATCTCGTGGAATCTGTCCTTGTCATAAATGCAGTCTCAGGCACACACTCTGAGCGCCCAAAGCCCTTTCTATGACCTTTCTCTCTGGGGACCAGAGACCTTCCAGCCTTCTCCCTATGTCCACTAGCCAGGTTTAAATCCCCGCCTCCACATACTTCATACTAAGACCCCATCACAGACTGGGTGTGGGCTCTCAGAACCGAGACCTCAGTGGTCAGCTCAGTCTGCTCTGTCTTTGGCTTGCCCTGGCACCACAATAGAATGGAAAAGCTGGTTTGTTTACGGGGCAGGGGGCCAGGAGAGCATTTAAAAAAAAAAAAAAAAGCAGCAAAGAAAAGGTCCTAAACAAACTTCCCTCTAATACCAGAGTGCAGCCGTTCCTGCTGCCTGACACTGACCACTTTTCTGTTTGTATAAACTTTCATCCTTTGCAGCAGTTACCATTCCCAGGGCAGGGCTGTCTATTTCCTCTATTTATTTTGATTTTGATTATCCCTCTCTATTTGAGCATCACACACCTGATTAGCAAGAAAATGGGTTTCCTATGGGAACCTAGGGAACAAGTCCTCTCTGGTCTCTATGCAGCCTCCCTTTTCTTCCCATCACCAGCCACCCCCTGACTGGGCTGGAGGTGGTGAAGGCCAGCATGGTAGACCTTTGGTGCTGGCTAGAAGCTGTGGCTCTCGGCGAGGGCTCTGAGCATTGGTTGAGTGAGAACCAAGGAAGGAAGGAAGAAAGAAGATGAAGCCTGAGAGAGAGGCTTTTCCAAGGAAAACTGGAGCAGACACAAAGGGCTGTGTGGGGTTGAGCATAACTTCCCAAGAGCACTCGGCCTGAGTTTTGTGGGAGCTGAAATCCGAAGATCTTGTTTCCTGACCCCAGCAGGTAGCTTATTGTAAAACAGTTCATCCAGAGGGAAAGCATTCCTGCTCTCTGCATTTCAATCTTCTCTCACTCTGAACCAGACTTGAGAGAGAAAGAATGGAGGTCACTGCCTGGGTCCCAGCTCAGAAATACATGTGACTGCAGGATGGAAACCCAAACCAGAAAGGCACCTTGGAATAAGTAGTCTACTTATCTTTAAATGCATGGAGTGGCCCAGGACCCCTATGTGCACGTTTTGAACTATTCAATGCTCGGATTCTCCTCAGTCGGTATTTCCTTCCTTGATGTGGAGGAGGGTGGGACACCCACGATGGCAGAGATAAGTGTTGGTAATTCTCACATTCTCTTTAAAATTAGTCTAGTTCCCTGCCTTTGTGGTGTGGTACGGAGTGCGAGTGCGGAATTCAGAGAGGCTGTGAAGAGCAGGGGTGGCCCTGACTCATTGACAAGTCATGGAATCTGTTTGGCTTGAAAGTTTACTCAGTGAAGATACCAGGAAGTGGCTTTGGTGGAGGGGGGGGCTGACTCTCCTGCCACAACTTCCACTTGAGCTGAGTCCTCAGGCTTCCCTGTCCTCCAGTTTGATGCCCCCCCCCCACACACACACACACATGTACACTCCTTCCAAAGAGTCCACAGGAAATCTCTGCCATGTGCTCTGGCTGCCATGATGTGAATTGGCGGGAGTGGGGTGGGGGACGCAGGTAACCATTGTCTGCACTCTCTGAAACTGTGAAAAGATGTCTGACTTCCTTGACCCAGACTCTGGGTTAGAGTGGCAACGCAGGACCTTCCCATTGCAGAGGGTCTGAGCGCCTGGTAACAGACGCTGGCTAGCATTTGATAGACGCTGGTTGAGAGGCAAGCGGTTTGCTTGTGGAGTGTTTGCCCACCCAGCATGTACAGAGCCTGGGTTGGAGCCTTAGCATAGCACAGAAATGGGTGTGGTGGCACACAGCTGCAATTCCCAGTCACGGTAGGTGGAGGCAGGAGGGACAGAAGTTCAAGCTCATTCTTAGCTTAGAAGGTTCTAAACCAGAGGGGTTTACATGAAACCCTATCTCAAAAACAAAACCCAAACGAGCAAAGTACAAAAGCCATGGGTCTGCTGTGCCTAGAACAAGACAACGCTGTGGGTTCTGGGTTCCTCGGGAATGTGCTTTGGCTAGATTCTCCCAGAAGGAAGCAGGAGACTCTAAGGAACCACCCTGATGCATGCATGGGCCCCGTTGAGGGCAATGGAAGACTCTAACATAATAGAAATCACCCTTCAACATCCTAGCACCGATGAGGCCCTTCTATGGCCTCTGCTCTCAGACAGGAGGAGGCCTCTGCTCTCAGACCTCGGAGCCTTCCCAGCACCACTCAGCAATTAGTAGTGAGGTTTCCTCTGGAGCCAGGCTCCTAGTCCCTCTTGCTAATAGGCTCCCCAAGTTGTCTTCCAGGACAGACACGGGTCCTGGAGGCTGGAGAAGGCATCCACTGCTGATGGGAGGAGGGAAGAGCCGCCCAAGCAAAATGCTGCCAAAGCAAAATCCACTGTTGGGGCAGCTTTGTGCCTACCGTCAGGGTCCGGTGCTCCTGGGTCAAGAGCACTTTGAGCATGGGGTGCTGGGGGTAGGCCAGCCACTGTGTGGGGAGCTGAGCTCTCCAGGGAGGGGAAGGCTTCATCGGGCTGCAGCCCCATGCTCAGTTCTGTTCTATTTAAAATCCTTTTTTTTTTTTTTTTTTTTT